ATTAATAATTAAAATATTTTTCAATATTTCTTTCTTTAGAGTTTTACAGTAACAACTGTTTAATTTGATTTTTGTTTTAAAAACTTTGGAATAGGAATGTCTATTATGTTTCTCCAATTCTGGTGGCTAAGTATATAAAACGGGAATTTGTGCCTGAATTCTAAAAAATGAATGCTTGATTTTTTTTCTTGTATTAGAGACTTATATAAGTGTTTAATGCTTATCAAAATTGAAGATTACTGTTTCTTTTTAAATATTGGCATTAGCAATTGAAATTCCTTTCTTAATAATTTCATCTTTTGAGCTTTTCTAAAGTCATAGAAAACAAATTTAAAATAATCAGTCAAAATAGATTAATAAAAACAAAACTGACACTGTCATTGACCATTATGATTTTGAATCTAATAGTATTTAATATTTTTATTGTAAAGGATCAAAAACAAAAAAATGTATAAATTCATTTTCAGTATCTGTCTATATTTCTGAGATGAGGTAATATGTACACTATTTACATTATTCGGACAATTGTCCTCATCTTTGTTGCTATATTTATTACATTTCGGCCGCTATATGGAGATAACTGATAACTGACATCCATTAAACATGGCACATGGAACTAGAACAGTCTACCCCAGTAAGTGAAATAAAGGGTTCAGTTCGACATTCCAACTACCTGAAGAAGGCCAGAGCATACAACAGACGAAACATAATAAATATGGCAACAAAGATGAGGACAATAGTCCAAATAATGTAAATAGTGTAAATTCACTTTCATCTTATATTTAGGTTTTATTAGAATTCTAATTATTGCTTTTTAAAACAAGAAACATTACTGATGAGTGAAGGTAGTTAAAATAATAGCAGTGTCAAGCAGAAAACTGCCCCTTTGACACTCCATTTTTGCAGACATCAAGGTCCAAGTTTGCTTTATTTTCTTTATTGAAAATAATGATTCTCAAATTTGGTTGTAGGCTTTGTAAAAACTTCTTTAGTTTGGTTGTAGGCTTTGATGAAAACATGGCTGTATCAAGAAATTTACTGGGTTCTCAGAGAGATAAAATAATAAATATTGGAAATATTCAAGTAGTTATCTATGTATAAGAAAATTAAAATCAGATTTTTTTTTTTTATAAACATAAAATGAATATTGAAAGTTACTAACATTTTTTTTAACCTTAAATCAAATACTCTTCAGTACTTGTTTCTTTACTCCCTTCAATAAAGATTTTCTTTTCTATTTTTGAATATCTGATATTTTCTGTTGACTATTTTTCTACACTTATTTAATATTGGTACATTCATAAAAATTGATGTCCGTCATTTTAGTAAGTTCATAAAGGGATTAAAAAGCTCAAATTTTACTCTAAAATAGCAAGCATTTGTTTGAATAGTTATTTGGACAATTGAACTCATTGTGTTGTTTTTGTTTCAATATTCTGACTGATCCATTTTATAACCATCTACAGGTGTATAGAAACAAAAGGTCTCTTTTCTCTTCTTTATCTCTGAGTGCAATGCAGAAAACTGTAGCAAACAAATTTTTTCAGTGCTTTATACTGCCAAAGAGAAACTTCCTGTTTCAATACAAACACTATTAAAGAAGCCATAGAAGATACTGACTAAAACATTATTGGGAACATAAATAGCCCAAAGAATGAGTTCAATTGACCAAATAATTGTTGGAGTGATAATGACTCTAATCAGAATTATAGACAGTAGTAAACATCTATTTCACAATATTTGTTTTATCTTTAGAGGCTTTTTTGGAACCTTGAAAATACTGATGCAGATACTGATCTCAATAAAGATAATTCTGCCAATTCTGAGTTAAATATATTGGAGTGTCTCTTGGAAGCTTTGTTACGACATTCAACGGTAAGTTTTTATCATTTAAACAGTTTGTGTAAGCTGGTATAATCCTAATCTTTGAACAATAGTCAACATCAAAAACATAATAGATCTAAGATGATTGTGGTTGATTTTGTTTAGTGGCATATCAACCTCTATGGGTTATTTAATGCTGAAATCTAAATATTTTCAACTCAGTTTTATGCCTTCAACTACACATATTTTATGCATTTATATTTGTTTTTAAGATATATAGTTTTTAGATGATAAAATGTATTGTTGGTAATTTTTTTTTGCATAAAAATGTATGGAAAAATGCCAGAAACAAATCAAGTACTACTAGACTGACAACATCTGGTTCTTGACCATGACTGAAACGGGCAAAATTACAAAAACAGGAACTCTGGACAATTTATAGACAATTTTAATTTTGGTGTGCATCTGATTCAAATTTGTAAAAATAAAATAAACAGGAAGACCTTGTCAGTTGAATAACAAAACTTGTTTGAATGAACTCTTGCTGTCTAAATATGTTTATTTATATAATTACCAAAAAGTTATTTGTGTAGAAGATCAAACTGGTTGAAATATCAGAAAGGAAGCAAAATAAAATGAAAAAAACTGCATTTCCTTACAATTTTTTTTTCCTTTTTGTTCTAGATTGGCAAACATTCTGTTCAGATTGTGCAGTATGGAGGACTGGTTCTGCTTCGTCGTGTTCTTGATAATTACCCAGACAACTACCATTTACATCAGTTATGTGCCCGTATTCTAGGCAATCTGGCTCTTCGCCCTGAACTGCATGAAGACATTGTAAGGAGCGGTAAATTGATGTTTTTCTCTTTTGTGTCTTTTTTTTTTTTTTTTTTTTTTTTTCGCTAAAGCTGCAAACATATTTTCCTCCATACACTCATACCATATTTTTCACTGGATTTTAATGTGAAGCTGAGCTAATCAAATTACTCCCATGACAAAGTAAAGAATTTCAATAAATTTATAATAACTATGCAGTAAAATCTCTACTTGTATATTGGAATATTGTTGGAGATTAACTGACATTAAAAGGAAATGTTAACTTAGTGTCTGATAGTTAAGATTTATTAAGCATAATTTAAAAGAAAATGGAACTGCTTAGTTAATAATAGGCAATGCTTCACCACACTTTAGAAAATGCTTAAGCATAACAGATATATTAAAAAAAAGTTATATTTAAAATAATGAAATTGCCTAAATACATTTCAATTTGACTGTCTTCAGAAGAATCAAATTAGAAAGAAAAATTATAAATGATTAACAAGTTATGCCATCAACAGAAAATGAAAATGCAGAAGACAGAATTTTTGAATGTATTGTTGTGAAAATGATTCACAAGAATCTATCTTAATTTCTGTTCTTTTATTGTTTTCTATCCTTAATGTTTTTTTTTTCTCATATTCTCTCACATTCAGTAACCCCTTGCATCTGTGGCTCTTTTACCTTGCTTGGGGTGAAATGATTTAAAAAAAAAAAAAAAAAAAAAAAAAAAAAAAGTGATCCAATATTGGTGAGCTTAGGGCTTCAGGAAACTGATGCAATTTATTACTTACTTTTGGTATTCAAGATAAGTAATTCATCAATGCTGAAAAGCTTAAAAACCATAACAAATGATGCAAGCAGCCTTTTAACAAGATAATGACAAAGTGATCTTTATTTTTGATGGTTGCATTTACAGGATGGGTTAGTATCCTGGTCAAGTGGATGCAGTCCGTTAACATTGATGTGTGCCTCAATACCGCTCGTGCCTTAGCGAACATGGATATTGACAGTTCCTCTGCCATGTATTATGATGGAGTCTATGTGCTCCACCCTATTTATAGATCACGGTAGGTAATTTTCTTTTAGAAATTTACTTAAAGTTCTTAATTCATCTTTTTTTTTAAGATTTCCTTTATTTTTGCTTGTTGTAATTGTTATTAAATTTGACAGTTATTATTATTAGTTAAAATTTCACAGTTGACTAATAAAGAATTGGCTGGTGCTTCAAGAATGAGAGAGGTTTTTTCAATTAATGCTACTTGTTTGGATGTTGATCAAAATAAATCTCTATTTATCAGGTTTGTACAAAAAACAAAAGCAAAAAGAAGTGTGCATATATGATATCATGGAAAGTTATATACCTCTGTGATATCAAATCATATTTGTATATGATGTCAGCCTCTTTTTGTATGTAAGAGGGACACAAGATTTCAAGACTTTGAATATTTGAGGAACATATGATCACCAAAGTTAAGCTATTTCAAGCCTGATCAGTACCTAGTTTGGTGACCACTTGGGAATAGCAAGTGCTGTAAGCTTGGATGTGCAGATAGTGTAATAGATAATAGCCTGGAAATGGAAATCAATTGAATTCCAATTCCAGTCAGTTTCATTATATTCACATGTACAAATACCCATTGAGAAAGGTATGAATCCAATTCTTCTCTCCCCCACCCATCTATGGGTTAGTTTGTGGGACTTGTATTGGTAAATCATTATTATCTCTCTCTTGCGTCCTGGGTATGATGATAAACTACATCCGCGTCCAGGGTAAGACGATAAACTACGTCCAATAGCAAGGCCTCTGATCAGGAGGCTTTGAGGAGCGTGGAACCACCTCTTAATTGCTGGTGTTCCCAGGTCCACCCTGACATGATCTGTTAGGGTCCCACCTATGGGCAAATAGTTAACCCTGAAACTGAGGTAAAAAGCATTATAAAAGTGTAAAAATAGGTTTTAATACCAGAAATACTTTGTAAAAACATTATTACGAAAAATAATTTGTAAAAACATTATTACCAGAAATAAATTTTTGAAGAAAAAAAAAATATTACCAGCTATACGTTTTTGAAAAAATATTACCAGCTATACGTTTTTGAGGAAAAAAATATTAACAGAAATAGATTTTTGATAAAACAAAAATATTACCAGGAAAAAAAAAAAGTTGTCAGCATTAAATGACCTATTGAGGTTGATATGCTGTAAAACAAAACAAACCAAACCATTATTATCTCCAAAAATTCCTTCAATCTAAAAATAATTTCTTGCTTTAAATAACCTACTAAAGGTGGATAAGCTGTAAAAAATAAAATTACATAAGAAAAAAAATGAAGGACAATAAAATTAAAATGTCTTTGGTACTACATGACCATTATTAAGCAGTTTATATCATAAACCATGTTTGCAAAGAAATGCATTGATTAAACAATCTCTGACAACATGAACTGAGAATAACTCTTATCTATTTGTTTATTCAATTTCATCTCCCAAGAAGCTACACTAAAAGATCATATTTCTGTACATAATATTTGTGTTCAAAGCATTGAATAGAAAGCAACCTGATTTATTAACTCTGTCAGATAATTTTCAAACTAAATCATTTCAACTCAGAATTTCTTCATTTTAATACTTATCAGTGACAAATCATTACTGCAATATACTTAAGATTAGTTCAGTTTAAAAAAGAGATTAGTAGAAATTGATTTGGTTATATTTCTGAGATGTAACTATTTACATTGCCTGAACTGTTGTCCTCATCTTTATTGTCATATTCCAACATACATCACCTGAAGAAGGTTGGCATGTGCAACAGCTGAAATGTGAATATGGCAACAAAGATGAGGACAACAGGCCAAATGATGTAAATAGAAATTGGTTGTTATCACTGCATTAAATGTTTACCAATAAGACCTGGGTCCAAATTTCACCATGGTCAATTTGTGTTATTGGCCTGGAGAGGTAATCCCAACATGAAGCACTGTTGGGAAGTACTTGAAAACCATACCATGGATTGACTCGATTCTTGTGGAGTCCAAAGCCACAATTTATTGTGACCAAGGGTTTTAGGGCACTGGCTTTGTTCAAAATATTGTTCATGCCAAATGATGCATTCTCACCCAGAAACTGTAACTAAGATCCACTCAGCATAGTTGCAGTATAAACCACAGCTGGGCTCTGTGAGTGTTGAACAAGCACAAATGTGTCTGAACAGGTGTCTGCAAAAGAGATTGGCTAGCCATCATACAGACAAACATACTCAAAAACAAGCAGCCAGTCATTAAATTATTACTCATGTAGTTTATACTTTTGACAATTCATTAAAGATAATCTGATAAAAAGACTTCAGTATAAAAGCCATTTTTTTTCATGTCTAATTAAAAAAAAAAAAAAGACTAAAAACCATAATTTCTAGTAAACAATTGAGTGCTTCTTTTCTTTTTATTCATGCCAATAGGAAACCTATCTACGCTGATGTTGTTTTCGTTCATGGTTTGTTGGGTGGACCATTTAAAACCTGGAGGCAAGGGGGTTCAGATGATCGGTTACCTTCTGAATTGAATGAGCTCATTGCACAAGGACAATATACACGATGTTGGCCAAAAGTAAGGCAGTAAATGATTTGGATTCATTTTCTGATTTTATTTTGCCATCTTTATGATCCTTTTAATTATTATTATTTTATTTTTTTTTAATAATTCTCTTCGTTTTTGTTCCTAGGATTGGTTGTCTCAAGACTCTGAACATTTGCGTATTTTAACAGTTGAATATGACACTTACCTCAGCGAACTCTCTGCAACATGTCCTTTTGATAGAGAAAAGTAAGTGGCTTGTTCAGATGGATTTTCTTTTTCTTTTTTTTCTCATCAATAATTCCAATGAGTAATTCAAAAATTCTGAAACTGATTTGACCTTCATTAAGTATTGAACATTATTACTTCAATAATAATTATTACTCGAGTCTTATATTGATCAATTTATTAGCAGAAATTCTATTTGATATATGTTAAATTATGTAATTTTGCATGTATTGTTTGCTAGTATTAATAGCTAGCATTTTTTATTTTTATCGTGTGTGTGTGTATATATATATATATATATATATAATATATAATGCATGTGTATTCCAATTGAAGGTTACTCTTTACTTTTTCATCCATTCCTAGGTTTCAGTTCCTAACTAAAGCTATTAGATTATACATGAAACCAGACTAACAATGAAATTTTCATTGCATAAGTTGACATATTGTGGCCCAAAAGGGTAGTTAGTGTTAGCATGCATAATTTTCATGTTATTATAAACTTCAACTAATTGCTAACTTGGGGCTTATATTGACAGTCTTTTATTGCAGGAAAAAAAAATTATAATTATAATTGAAGGATTAGGTATTCTTGTGGACCAGTTTACAGATGGTAGATGATGACATCAAAAGAAATAATTCCACATTTTGTAGCAAAAGGACATAAAATTACAAATTTGGCATCATCACTGGATACTTATTCAGGATTACTTGAACCAGTCAGGAGACCTGTTAACAGCCATACTAGCAAATTGTAAATGTTCAAGAAGAAATGATCTGTTTATTGTGCAATAAGTCCTTCATTACCTATTAAATTCCCAACTTTTCATTAACAAAATATCTATTAAATGATATTTATTGATGATTTTTTTTATTTCTCAATTATTAAAACACTGCTATCATTTAATAAACTTTTCAAGTGTGGTTAAAAATATTTCGAAACTTTAATTTTTTAAAATTTTGTAAGGTTTTTGAAATTGTTTATAAGAAAAAATTTAACGAGTATTTTTTGTCTTTTTTTTTATAAACTATAAATCTGCAATATAATTTAGCAAATAAAATTAAAGTTAACAAGCAAATTAACATTTTGTGATTTTGCAGTTTAAAATTTTCTATTTTTAGACATAATTTCAAAATTTCTTTAAAATGACATGTCCTTCAGGATGTAGACAATTATGGCTCTCCACATGTTCCTTTTCTTTATTATTTGTGAATTGCCATGACTTCCTGGGAAATATAATGGAGTGGTTTATTGTTGCCTTCTCCACAGTTTCAGAGCTGTCTTTTTCTGATGATGATTGCCACATAAGGTTGAAGAGCTCTGTCTACCCTGCTATTTAATTTGTAAGTAGAAGGAAGATAAAAATGGATTCATGCCTTTCCCAAGGGCACTAGCACAAACTGAACAGACTAGGCTTGAACACTGATTCCACTTTGTTACACTACCTGCAAAATTTTGCTGAAAGATGAAACTGATTTTAACTATATTTTAGCCATTTAAAACATAAAATGTATGATCAAGTGGCAATTTGAGATTTGAGTATTTACAGCAAAGAAAAAAATGCTGATAATTTTTATTTTTTTAATAAACAAATTCGGTTACTGATGAATTAAGTACAGTTTTATTCAGTAATTAGTTGAATGTTCATAAATTTTCAAAATGTCTATCAGTTTCAAATATTATTTCTTGATTTTTTTTTTTTTTTTTTTTTTTTTTTGTAAAATTTTGTTAACATCTTCAAGCACAAATGTTTTTTTAGATTGGGCAATAATAATTTTTTTATCAGAATATATAATTTAAATTAAATGTTTTTTTTTGCTCAAGTGTTTCCAATCTTGTAAAATCTGTATGAATGTCTACAAAAGTTATTTGTTGAGGGAAGCTAATTTCCTTCCCCTATAAAAGACAATAACTCAAAATACAATTGAGTTACTTCCTTTGTCTTTGAAGAGGAGCAGGTCACTTCTAAATTTAACATTTAGCTGACATGCACATGGAATTCATTATTTCAATCCAAACAGTCCTTACTTCACATTTTTGCTATGCCCTATTAGATTTGTCATTTAAATTTTGAGCTAAATGAGAATTTGAGATTATAAAGAGAAACTGATTAAAACATTCATTTATCTAACTTTATTAAAGGACAGGAAAAAGATAAACTTATTTGAACTCATTTCACTTCACTATTAATGGACAAAAAACAGTTCATTTTACTTATTTCTATTCAGTTTTGTATATAAGAAATGTGTACTTTTATAATTGAATCTATAATGGGATTGTTGATAAAAAACATGGTAGTAAGTAAAATATCTTCAAATAAATGAATTCCCGCAAATGTTTATTTAATTTTTTTCCCAGGAGATCTTTATATATTCGAGCTAAAACCATCCTTCATAAACTCCGCAAAGCTGGTATTGGTGAACGCCCTATAATATTTGTTGGTCATTCAATGGGAGGTAAGCAAAAACTTCTCAGATTTTTTTTTTTTTCTCCTATTACACACTGCTGTAAAATACAGCAAGGGTGGGTTGAAGTTGGGGGAAACACCTAACTGATTGCTCTCTCAAGAACTACATGATAACAAGCAGAGAAGCAAAAGCGATGGGAGGAAACAAAAATACTGTCTCAGAAACCACAGTATGGTGAGCAGCACTCAACTTGAGGAACAAAATGTCCAAGGGGCCAACTTCACTAAACCCCAAGTCTAGCCAACTGTCCACTGCTGACTACTGTTTTTTTCATCACTTTTATTGAGAGGAAACAGTTGACAAAAACCTGGAGCTAGATAAGTTGCAGAGAGGAATGTATCTGGACATGCCAAGCTGTTCTGCTGCTAACAGGAAAACCCAGATGTAATTGGTTTTGACAGACGTCCGCACACGATTTGGGGCATCTTATGTGTCTGTATTGATGCACATTCTTATATGATCACAGAAGTTGAGCAATGTCAAGCCTGCTCAGTACTTAGATGGGTGACTGCTTGGGAATAACAGATACTGTAATCTTGGATGTGTAAATTGTGTAATGGATAATGGCTTGGAATTAGAAATTGGAGAGCCAAGTTTCACCTCCCATTGGATTCATTATGTTGCAGTCACTGTAATATTAACTGTTTCCTTATAAGGAAACAACCAGCATTCATTGACAGAGCAACCATTGCTACTTTCAGCTGAAATTTATGGAATTCTTTTTTATGGAATCTTTTCATTTTTTTTTTTTTTTTTTCATTTTTTTTTTTCCAGGAAAATAGGATTATCAAGTCCACTGTTATTGCTTTTACAGTATTAATGGGGATTTCCTTCCTTACCTTTTGTTTGAAGTAGTGTGGATTCTCAGTATATTGATTATATGTCAACATTTTCTCTGAGTTACATGTGCTATCCATTTTAGTTGTTGCTGCTATTGAAAGTCCTCACGTGATGACATTTCTGTTATTTGGTACAGTCCTCTGGAAAATAAAAAAATTAATAATGAAAATATTCTTTAAAAAATAAGTGATGGTTTGGAACTACAAAAGTAACAGATATCAGGGCATCACAAATTCATGCAAACATTTTAATGTATGTCTGAATTTTTGATACCTCAAGATCTCTGATATATTTCTGACACACACACACATATATATATCAAATGCTGTGTATATTCATCTATACATAATGCACATACACACACGCATGTTTACTCATGCCGTCAATTATGTCCTTACAATTATTAGGTTATATATATTTATTTCCAATGATTATAGTTTACCATTTGTGTATCTCTTCACCAATATCTTGATACATTTTTTTTGTTCTTGGTCTTTTCTAGATTTTGGAGATTATTCTTTTTTTGACATTATTCATTTGAATATTCTACTGTTGACATAGATAATACCACTTGGTGTTGCAGTGCAAGGGACATTAAAAGTTACAGACAAAAATATATAAATATATTTGTTGTGTTATATAGTAAGAATTTTGTGTGTACCTCTTTGTACAGATTCTACACTCTGATCCTAGGCAGAAGTGATGGGTTACAATATTTTGATTCTAGGCAGAGCACATACATATTCTGATCCTAAGCAAAAGTTCCAATCTATGTGTAAATAATCTTTTCTTTTTGTTTGAGTACTATGCTAGTATTATAATAATGGGATACTTTTTCATTTTCTTTCAGGGCTGCTCATAAAACAAATGTTGCTTTTAGATGAAACAATGGAGAAGAAAATCCTTAAACAAACCAAAGGCATCATTTTCTATAGCGTTCCTCACCGAGGCTCAACTCTTGCATCGCTCTGGAGACAGGCTTGGTTCCTTCTTTATCCATCCATTGAAGTCAATGAGTTAGATCCAGGTTTGTAAATAACTTCCACTAAAAGTATTTGTATTGCCTTTTTTCTTCTTTATTTCTTTTCACTCTCTTATTTTAACTTAGCTTTTTTGAGATATCAGAAGATAATAAAAATCATTTTGATAAGGGCAAACTCATAAAATCTATGAACAAACGTCACTAAACTGTCAAGAATTGTGACATGTTATTTTGAAAAGGTAGGTTTGTTTTTACCTACAGTAACCAAGGTTTTTAAACTTCAAGGCAAATTTCTCTTTTAGTATCTACATTCAAATCAGCAGTCGTTGATAAAAAAAAATAAATGCAGAATATTTGATACACGAGTGACCAGAGTCTGAAATTTAAAGAATTGTAAAAATAGACCATTCTGCCTACAAAATCTCTAATAACTAACCAGAATAATTATCCACTTTTATATCTATATTTGACTTTTTTTTTCTTTTCTTTTTTTTTTTTTCAACAAAAAAAACCTAACCTATGCAGAGATGAGTCCTTTTATATATACTTAAATATCCTAAAATATTTTCTGGATATTCATTGCTGAAACTGGGGTGCATTTTGTATATTTCATAATTTTATCAAATATGGTAAATGTCCTAAAATCTTATTTAGATTTGATAATACTCGCATAATAACTTTCAGGATCCCATTATAAAGTGAAACTTACAAGAGATAAAGGGAAATAATTTCAATGTATTAAAATATATACATTGATGTCTAAAAGAGCATTTAAAAGGAGATGCATGACTAGGCAAGTTAGTAGAGCCTACTATAAATTTTTATTTTAAATGACTAAAGAAAGTGCTAAAGCTGAAAGAAAAAATTGATAGGTTTAGCAGCTAAAGGAATGCACCATCATAAAAAATGGAAGCATAAGATATGTGATTCATTTGGTTTAGTGAGCGCAAGATATGTAATTTCATTGGTTTAGTGCTCAAATAGAATGGAGTTTAAATCTTGATGTATTTTCCAAATTAGTAAGATAATTAACATATTTTTTCTACTCTATATTTCCAAGACCAACAAGATTGTGTTTGTAATCACAAATGCTTAAGGAGTTTAGTTTAAGAATATTAGTTTTTGACTGTGAGTCTCATTACATATTTTATCTAAAGGCCAATTAAATGCTATTGAATAAATCTTCATTGTTTCTGCTAATGTTTGATTTTTTTTTAATCCAACAGAACCTTTCAGCTGAATACTGTTGTTCTACTTGCATTAATTACTTTTGATTCTATTTGTTTTGACATTTTAGATTCTTTGCTATTACGAACACTGCACAAAAACTTCCAAGAGTTGATCGTTGAAAGTGACATTGAATGCGTTAGCTTTGGAGAATTGCAAAAAACCCCATTAGGAATGCGTCTTCATGCACTTATTGTTCCTCCACATTCAAGTGGTGAGTATATGTCAGTCACCAGGGTGGCACCCTTTGCTGACAATTGTTTAAGTTGAAATTTAAAATGTCCTGTATTGGCCTGCATTGATTTCTTTGGAAATGATCACTTATCTGAATAATGACTTGAATTTTTTGTTTCTTTCTACAGATCCTGGCTTTGGTGCCTTTTACACTATTGAAGCCAATCATTTGACAATATGCAAGCCAATGAACCATCAGTCAATGTTGTATGCAGTAACATTACAGTACATCCAAGATTGGGCAAACCAGACTTTGGTGGAGAGTGTCATGAAGGCAGGGCTTGGTATTGAGGATCAAGTGGCTAATTTGATTTGATTTGTGATTCATTTGTTTTATTCAACTCAATCAAATCATAACTCAAAGGATGTAGAATTAAGCAGTTTCATTTTTGGAGTTATGAATTTCTACTTAGCATCAAGTTTTCTTGTTTTATCTTCATATTTTAATTGGTACATTCTCTGACTATCATTAACAGGTGCAATATAAGTGAGTGTATCCTTTCAGTATAATATAAATAATGAAACGCTTTTGATATTAATATGTCACTTGATGAACCACTTAAAATTAAATGAAGATAAAATGATAAAGTTACAAATAATGATCTCAACAAACTCGTAAACATCAACTGCTTCACAAATACTGATTTTCTTTTTTTTTGTTATTTCAGTTTCTAGAAATTTCTACATTTGTTAATCAAAAATATAGAAACTCCATTAAAGATTAGCTGTCTCAATGGTATTTTAGTTGTTTTAAGATCTGATTAAAACCAAAGAGAATTAAGCATTTATTATGAAACTGTCTCCTATAACTTTTATATAAGATCTGATTTTTCGCTAAAGAGTTTTTGTTGATCTCTTTTCCAGAAAGATGATGAATTTAATCAATAGAATTTGAGAAATGGCAAATGCAAACAGCAACATATATTTGATAAATATGAACAAAGTGAAATGAAAAAATAGAAAAACAAATATCTGGATTTATCTAAATTATATATTATTTCTTAGAACAGCAAATGTTAAACTATTCAGTACAAGTTCCATATAATTTATTTTGCCCATTTTCACAAGACAAAGAAAAAAATCAGTTTTATAACTGAATTAATAAAATTTAAGTAAAGTTTAATTTAGATCTTTTTTATAATCAGCATGATATAATTCAGAAAAAAAGAGACATGTGACAATTACAAAAAAATATGTAATGAATATAAATAAATACTCTGAAAAATAATCCTCCATTTCATAACTAGATTTAAAAAGCAGGCTATTTCAATATTTTAAGTAGCTCTGGGCCAGGTATGGACTGCAAGACATAACTTGTAGAATCCACAATAATCTTAGAATATAAATAGATTTTGAAATAAAGTTTACTCATAACATGTTTTGCAAACCAGTTCAGGCACATTTGTTTTACTTTTTTTTTGTTTTAGGATTGATATATTAATTAGAAATGAAAATCTGTAACAGGTTCAGCTTTCAAGAAAGGAATTTTTTTTTTTAAGAAAATTTGGACAGTTATACAAAAACCAATGCTATTAATTTTTTTTCTTTTATATTATTTTTGTTTTTTTAATATTTTTTAATTTTTTTTTTCCTGTCAAGTCAGTGTTTGACTATACATATGAAGCCTACTGTAATATTCTTAGTTAATTAGTTCAATTTTAAAACAATTATAGGTTATCTTAATTCTCTTTTTTGGACTTTATTTTTTAAACTGAATTGACTACTTTCTCATTTATCTCTGGCTTTGATTGATCACCTTTTAATAAGAGTATTTGTGTGCTATGTACACAAAATTAAAAGATTTACTAAAATGAGAATATCCCTTTCCCTTATATTAGATTGTTACATAAGTTTGTTTATTTTTTAATAATTTATTTTAATACTTATTATTTATTAATAATTCTGATGAATCTTTCAACAATGTATTCTCTTCCTTGTTTACAACTTCCTGCCAACAATCTGCTGTTCAATGCCTCAATGATAGAAGTCACTAGGTTTTCACTTGAAAAAATTCATCAATCCATGTTTAAAGCTCCACATTGTTGTTGAACAAAGCACCCCTCAAATTGGTAGAAAGTGACTAAAAAATGGTGGTAGTCTGAAGGGGCTAAATCAGAATATGATTGGTGTGGCAGAATTTTCCAACTGAACTCTTTAATTGCATGTTTGGTCTCATTAGTGACATGGTAGTGAGCATTGTCATGTTGAATAATCACACTGCATCTCTGGTCAGGTCTTTTCAGCTGAATTGCTTCTTTGATTCCGTTCATTTGTTCAACATACAGCTCAGCATTGTCGTTTGGTTGTTTTGAAGCATTTCATCTCCATACACAACACAAATACCTCTAGCAGTTTTGGTAGCTTGATTAAAAGCAAAGAGATGTTGAACTTATTCTTGTCTACTTGACATTACATCTCAAATGGCCATCTAATTTGAAATAAAATTTCAATAATGTTAGACAACAGCTTCACAAGATAACCAGAGTTACTAAGAGGCAAAAAATCCTCTGAAATATTATTCTTTGAGATCATTCGCAGAACATCAGAAAAAAATGAATGAATATAGTAACAATCTAATATTTTTTTTCTTTTCATTGTGTGGTAATAAATTTCTTTCTTTGAAGTTCCCACATTCACATGAGTTTGTTTTATACATGCTTTAAATTATTGCTTGTTTTGAATTGCAAAATATTTTCCTATTTAATAGGTTTTTTTTTTCTCTTGAAAAAAAAATCCATAAAATAAAAGCTTACTATTGTATTATTGTTAAAATTCTGCAACCTAATTATGTACTTATTGTGTATATTACTTGATGACAATGGCAATTGTGATCAATTGAATCATAATGTTCAAATCTGAATGCTAATTTGTGATTGGATAAGAGAATGTGAGATTTCAGGATAATAAATTTTTGCATGCTTATCTAATCAGTTTAATTCAAATTTAAAGTCAAGAGTTTTCTTTAAAATTTCAGCAAAAAAATATTAAAATTTTTAGATTATTTTGACTTATGATTCAACATTTATTATAATTTTTATTCTACTTTTCAATAATTTTATTCTCAATTTTTATTATTTAATATAATTTTTACATTTTAGTTGCATGAATAAATATTCATAAATCTCTGATCAATTGCATGTTTTATATAAGAATGTGTGTCTGCATGCATGTATTGATATTGTACTTTGACCGCAAGGAATAACAATTACTCCACATTCTTAGATAAGAAATGAATATAGTTGGCCTTTTAAAAGTGGAAAAACTACAAATATCTCTATCCCTCCCACCAAACCTAACTCTTAATACTGTTGGTCATATTTAACACACTGATATCCTTAAAAAGAACTGGAGAAAAACATGAGATAAAACATTTTTTAATTATATAGGTACTGAATTATATGCTTTTGAATGTGTTTACATTTAAAATATTTTGATAGCCATTATTACATCATTTCATATGAATTAACAGTGAAATTTAAGTGAGTAAATAAAAATTTTCCCAAAATAAAATAGCCATCCTAAGAAAAAAAGGAATCAATGGAAATAATTAATTTAATGAATAACAAATTTTGAAAGATATATATATATATATAATTATTATTTATAAAAAATTACAACATAAGTATGTTACTAGAAATCCACTTGTTTCAAAAATAGCCATTTGATTTGAAGATATTTTCAACCTCATCATCTTATAAGACACCGATGATGTTGAAACAAAATGGCTATTTTTGTAGTGATTTTATAACATACTTATGTTATAATTTTTTATAAATAAATAATTATATCTGCTCTACTTTGTATTGAGCACTCTTAAGAATAGTAATTGTTGGTTATTGGAATTCATTCCGTATATACCAATTATATACTTAGGTATATATATATATATATATATATATATATATATGATAAAAATTATAATTTTAAGGTATGCTATATTTAGGGGTAAAAGTACTCAATATCAGAGAGTATATGTAAATGTAAAATTGGATATTGACTTCAGTGTTACACATATTTATATATATATATATATATATATATATATATATATATATATATAATATACACACACACACACACACACAAGTGTATATACATAATATCCAACATTGATAGCACAACTCAGAGTTACTTGCAATCTTCAGGTGTGGAGCATATTCTGACCATTATAGAGTTTGTGTTCTCATGATAATTCAAAATTGTGTTAAGACTTGTTTATTTAATTATTGTGGCCTAAAATATTAGAATTAATTTTTTAGAATTTATATCGTTCAAATTCTTAATTTTGAAAGGCTAAGAATTAAAATAAAAATTATTTAAATTTATAACACCTGAGGAAGAAATAAATTTATACATACATGCAAGTATATATGCATGTATGTATATGTTTTCATACCTATAATATATATATATATATATATATATATATATATATATATATATATATATATATATAAATTTTACTTTGTAATTGAAAAATATGTTTTACAGTGTCTGTTTCCGTTAAGTTTCAAAAATATCCTTAAACAGAAATTGATTAAAATCTTCTGCGTTTAGAACTTAAGCTTTTTTTAGTTTTTAAATTTTCTAATCAGCAGTTTCCAGCCACAAATTCAAAAAGTTAATCCCTTGTAATTATTGATAACAAGCTCACAAATTTTCAAACCAATGCAAGTTTAGGTTTAACTACCAATTTTTTTTTTTTTTTCCTTAAGATTTTATTTTACATTGAATGTTTCACTATCAAGCCTTTTATCTTTTGAAAATTTGGTTGTACATAAGATAGAATGTGATTACATCCATGCAAAAGAAAATGTATCTACTTGGAGTTTAAAAACAAGAAAAGTCTCATAATCACACATTAATTATATTATCTATAATACACAGCAAATTACCAAAATCATCAAGAATTAAAAGGTTTTTCATTGTTTTTGAGGAGTGTTGACTTTGCACCCTCCTACAAGTTTCTTTTAATGAGACTGTTTATATAAATAAATCTCTTTTTTTTTCTTTTTCTTTTTTTTTCTTTTTTTTTTCTTTTTCTTTTTTTTTCTTTTTTTTTTCTTTTTTGCACTAGCACTCAGTGCGAAATATTTTATATACAGGGTGAAAATAAATGAATGCAAGTTTTTAAAAACATTATAATACAAAGTAAACAATTGTGAAAACAACAACATATATTGTGAAACAAATTGGTTTGAAATGGAGTTTATGAGATTACAACAAATTTTCAATTGTTCCTCCATTTTATTCTATAACCAAGATTGCACATTTGATCAAATTATTGACAGACTATCCATAACTTGAAGTGTGCACTCAGATTCTAAGGAATGTCTCCCACTTGAAAGAATACCATGCAGTGTCTTTGTGGTTTCAAATTTTTCTGTCCAACAAGTAATTGTTGATAGAGCAAAAGGATCCTGTTTTAAATTGTTCCTTGTTTAATTAACTCTCATTGTTGCTGCTGTACTCTCAAAATATGTTGTTTTCACAATTGCTTAATTTGCATTATAATGGTTTTAAAACTTGTGTTCATTTATTTTCACCCAGTGGAGCAGAATAAGGCAGTTGATAACAACTTGTAATATTATTGATTTGATTATTCTGAATATCCTGAAGTAAAGCAAACATGTATACAACTCATACATTTTTATTGCTATCAAGTTTGATTATGGCATTAAAAGCTTCATGTTGCTATTGCCTGGAGAGGTGAATTATGTGAGAGTGGTTTGTCCAAATGGTTATTTCTCTCATTCTCTTCTCCTTCACTCATTGTGCTATGCTAGTGGTAAGACATGTCTTACTTAAGATGTCTCTCAAAAAGCATAGCAAGAACTAGTTGTATGCTTTTTCTAAGAGCATTAGTGTGAAGTAAACATAAACATCTTTGCACAAAATTCAAACTTTGTTTGCCAATACCATTTTCTGTCTTGGTAATTGTTATAGTTATATAATAAGTTGTGATAATAATATTTATTATGTGCACATACACAGGCTAAACAGAAATTCATGTATTCAAGTATATGTTTAATATGGAGTGGAATTAATTTTTAGTGTTCTCCTGCAGTAACTTCTTGAATTTGTTGGGGGGGAAAAAAGAATCTTCAAATTTGTTTATGCTACCTTCTATCTTTGAGTTGGGACAAATGAAGAAAACAAAATGTCTTTAATTCTGGTATTTCCTTTGATTATGAGTTCATAATCAAAGGAAATACCAGAATTAAAGACATTTTATATATATATATATATATATATATAAAGAGAAAGAAATAAAGAATAGAGGGAGTATAAAGAGAAATAACCATAGCATTCTACACATGTGCATGTATATACACTCACACATACACACACAAAGAAAAAAAATCAACCTGAACATCAACAAAAAGTGCACAAATTATTTTTTAACTAAATATAAAAATAACGAAAATTAGAAAATCAACAGTCAATTGCTGATACCTCCTGACGAGTGGAGTGAACAATCACAAAATTGTTTGTCTACAAAATTCTGGAGTTGGGCTGCTGAATATAACATCAATCAGCGAAGTTACAGATTTTATATTTGTATTAATTTTATTTATATATATATATATATATATATAAAATAAAATAAAAACATTACTGCTTCATGTTTTCACTCTATAAATATCCTGGTGAGTCAAAAGCTTTGTACTGAGCTTTCTATTATCTGTGATAACCTCTATTGATTTTAGGTTTTCAGGGAAACTTCTGGTATTGTGAAAAAGTTAGTGCATTGTTTGTAAAGTTTACTTATGTAAAGAGTTGATTTGAATCATTGTTGAAAGAAGACAATTTTGCTATGCATATTCCTGGAGGCCTCTACCTCAGTGTTATATAACTAGTATCCTTCATAAAACAGTTCTTGCATGTCAAGCATGTAGCGAAGTGTACAAAGGATATCTTTAAGCAAGCAATAAGAGGGTATAAATTAGGAACTTAGAGAATTCACTGTATTTTTGCTCAATTTGAAATAAAAAAGACTATTTTTCCAGATTCAAATATTTGTTTATACATCATTACTGTGGGTTTTTAAGACTGCTTTAATCATTCAATGTTGTTTCTTCATGAACTCTATTATTTTAGATGTTTTCAATTTATACTTAAAATGTATCACTGGGTTGACATAATTTTATCAGATTAATTTGACACTTTGAAACAAATAGGTATGAGCAAAAAGGTATTATATGAATATTTTTTCTGTCTTCCAAATAGATGCATTGTCAGAAAATAACAATTTTATGTGATGATTACAATCCAAATTTAGAGAAAGCAAAAGATGATAAAAAAATCATGAATGAGTCGCAAACATTATTTGAACTTTTTATGTAATGTGAAAATTTGAAAGTGTAAAGATTTAGTCCTTACAAACATTGAACAATTATTTCATTGTTTTGTATATCCAGTGTTTATTATATCATTAAACTTGTCTCTGTGTTATCCTAGCCAAATCTGAATCTGTTTTTCATTTTAGTGACACAACCACATCTTAATTTTCTTTCTATTAATTCTTAATAAAATATATTTCTTTGTGTTATCCATATTTTCTTTCTAACTCCTTGTTTCCTTCATTTCATCTCTACATACAAATATGATTTGATATGACAATGTCAGCTTCTTTTTTGGGTGTAAGAGGGACACAAGATTTCAAGACTTTGAATATTTGAGGAACAATGGGCTTACGGCTATATCACATTGAAACACCAGTTCTCATATGATCACCAAAGTTAAGCTATGTCAAGCCTGGTCAGTACCTAGATTGGTGACCGCTTGGGAATAGCAAGTGCTGTAAGCTTGGATGTGCAGATAGTGTAATAGATAATAGCCTGGAAATGGAAATCAATTGAATTCCAATTCCAGTCAGTTTCATTATATTTACATGTACAAATACCCATTGAGAAAGGTATGAATCCAATTCTTCTCTCCCCCACCCATCTATGGGTTAGTTTGTATGACTTTTATTGGTAAATCATTATTATCTCCAAAAATTCTTTCAATCTAAAAATTTCTTGCTTTAAATAACCTACTAAAGGTTAAACCATAAAAAAAAGACAATCGCTCAAACCTCCTGACAAGTTGATGTGAGATTTGACAATTCTTTATCTAGTAAAAGAGATTAATAAAGTGTTACTATTCATCAGTGAGCCAAAATGTTTATATTTCACTACAGGCATTGATTATTACAAGAGTTATGAAAGAGAGACACAAAACTGTCTTGTTTCTTTATACTGAAATATCAATCTCTTGCTCCATTGAAACTGTTTACCTGTCCCCACTCCATGATGGTACACTTGATACAAGGTCACAACTAATGTGAAACCTCTCATATGTACATGTGCCATAAATTTTCTTGTTTCTTCAACACCTCCTTGTGAGATGCTTCAGGCATCAGGAATTGACTATGACCAGGGCCAGTGCAAGGTTCTCATTACCCCCACCCTGCAAATCTATGATACATCCCCCCTATATATGATACTGTGGCTCCCCATTTTACTACATCTCAATTTTCATATAAAAAATAAACTTTACTGTAATCTAATTATGTACAATAATGGATTATGTGCTATATTGGTGAACAATTCAACTAAAAAAATTGAAAATAAATACAATGTATCTATATTCCATCTTAAATAAATCACTGTTTTGCAGCAATTTTTAGCATCAACTTGAGATTTTTCTTGTTAAAAAGGTGAAATTTAACATATTTTTCATTATGGATAAAAGATAGTGAATTTTATATTCCGTGTTTTTTCAAGACTTAGCATGAGCAAAATAAATTCATGGATTTGGATGAAAATAGACCCCATTAATAGTCAGTTGTGCTTAGTTTAATTTTTAACATATATAAATGTAGGCAGAAAAAAAGCGAATGTAGATAAGATAATGAGGATCACAAAGCACTGCCCAGGGCATCCAATCAGGCTCTCCCCTCTGGTTGGGGATTCAGGGATAGTATGCACTGGACCTGACTCTGAACCTCCCTTGTTAAGTATAGTGGAGAAGATGCAGATAACTCTCTAGAATTGAACTTAGTTAGTTTTTGCCTCAGGTTCTATAAAAATGTGTTCTATTGAAGGTTGAATTCACTGTCTACCATATTTTGTGTCATATTTACAATTGTTTATAATACATAAACATTTATATGGCACTATTTGGTATGGACAGCAATAAATATAATACATAAAAAAATGCACTAGTATCACTGCTTTTGACAATAGAAAATGAACCCAGTACTCTCTACTATATACACAAAACTTAGTAAAAACTTTGCGTTATACCATGAAGGAGTGACTAAAAAATATCCTATATAATGTGTGTATTTATTTTTGAGAAAATGCTTTCTGATGTTAGATCTAGCATGTGATAACCAATTGATGTATAATCATAATTTAATAAAAGCCTTTTTTTTACGGATGGTAGAAAAAATATTTCAGTTTAGTTTTATGTATCTTTTTTTTTTCTTAGTGCTTTTTATTTTTTTTAAACAAAAAGAAAAGGAAAATTAACACTATGAAATCACCTATCAACCTGCATACCAGGAATGTTGCTTGCTTGGTTCGATAGTAGAGCACTGCAGTAAACTCCAAGAAGTTGGAAATTCCACTTCAGATGTCAAATAAAAATAAATCTCTGCAGCAGACTTAGCAAAATGCTTTTCATTTAGTGGTCAATCTACTTTTAAAACCCATAAAGATCCTGGTGTAGAAAGAGAAAAATATGGTTTTGCATTAAGTTGTACACAATAATGGTAATGCAAAAAAAAAAAAGTAAATATTTTTTTTATTTCTACTTTGTGTTTTGAATATAAAGTGCAATATGGATTATATCCTGATAATAAAATTTTTATAATTTAATTGTTTTCGAATTTTTGTTTTTGTCTATCTTTTGTCTTTCATTCAGCATATCAGTTCATATACATATATTTACAATACAACACACTCAATGCATAAGTTGCTCTCCATAATGAGCCTGGTCATAATTTTTATTTATATTTATACATATATATATAAATGCCATTTTAACTAATGGAGAAAGTAATTTACTAAGATTAAAATGTGCTTTAATCACTAGATCTTCCATAGTAAATTTATGACCAGCCTCTTACATTTCACCTTTCTGGATAGATCTATTATCACAATGTGAGATATTCAATAGCAAAAGTGATGAAAACAATAATAATAAAATGAAAACTAAATAAAATCAACTAGACTATATACCGAAAACACATATTTAAGAAAAAATAAATTAAATTTAAAAATTTCAACATCCATCTCTTTAGGTGCATATGTGTTCACATCAATGTAAACATTGTATTTAGTTCAATAGATTCCTAGAGGATGAAACATCACACAAAAACTTTTTCCACTTTATCATAGATTTCCCTAAAATGCATATATTTGCATCTTTATGATAGATTTTTTAATTATTTTCCTCTAAGTGCTTGTCAATATATTACAACTACTTTAAATTTTTTTTTTTTTTTTTTTTAAATTAGCTCATTTTTTGCATAGACTAGCCCTTTTCAAGGCTTTCTATGCTAACACAAATTCTGGTAATTTCATATTGTTTTTCAGCTTTGTTCCAAAGCAGTCAAATTCAAATATAAAAAGTTTTACAAACTATAAGATTTCTGCAAAAAGTGGAAATTTGTAGAAAATTTTAATTTTTTTTTTTTTTTGTTTGTTGGGAAATATGACTCTTTGCTTTCAGGGAAACAATAAAAATTAGTTATATTGTTTTCATAAGTTAAGTGCTCAACTGATAATATCAAAAAAGGAAGGAAATGGTGAAATGAAAAAAAATGTGGTCAATGTCTAAAGTTGAAAAATTTATTTACTATTCACACAAATTGTATATTAAAGAAAAAGATGTAAAAAGAGAATAGTATTTCAAAGTTTGAAAAAGACTGTTTTTTTTATTATTATTTAGGAGTTGAGATGTTATCTCTCTCTCTCTCCCCATATGTAATATTTATTTTGTTTTTGGTAAAAGTCAGGTACCATCCAACACAAAAAAATATAATGCAAATCAAAATGTTTTTTTTGTATTTTTTTTAAATGTGTTATTGATAACAGATACAAACTTGTGGAGCATGCAGTCACAACGCCAAGGTTGAATTTTTGAAAATTTAAGTGAGAGCATTTTTTACTAATATGGCAATTTAAGAATTTTTTTGTTGTAGGGGTTTATCAGTTAATGTGACATGAACTAAATAGTTCAATAAGTAGAGTAATGTCTCAGTTGTTATCCTGAAAATTTGCATGTCGGATCAGTTCTTTCAAATCAAGTATGTGATGCAGTTTAATTTATATTACAATGAATCATTCATACAAAAAGTAAATTAATAAAGTTAATGATATAAAATGGCAAAATCCCTTTGATAACTAAATTTTAAAGATGCATTAACCTACTAATCACTCGAATGTTATGATCCCTGTTTTTTAAAATTATAAACTGTATTAGGTCTTCCTTAAATGTGCAAGTACTTTCAATGCTTACCTCCTCTCCTCGATCTTGGTGAGCTTTGCAACACTGTCCTCATGGAAACCCTAATCACTCTGTAGTATCTATTGATATTTTGTTTCAATAATCTATTAAAGAGGAACCTCCTATTCATAAGACTTCTTTCTGTTACCAGCATGCTGATTGGGACTTACTCTGATTTTCTTCATGATGGCTCTTGGACTGACATCTGTAACCTTCAAATTGAGAATTGCACCACTGAAGTTTTTTGGAGGGTCAAAGCCAGCATGGATGCTTTCATTTCTTCTAGGAAATACCAGGTGAAACTTCAACTTTCTCCATAGTTCACACCAGCATGCTTGGCTGCTATAACACATAGAAACTACTATTTTCAGCTATACCAGTGTGACAGCTGCTGTCACAACAGGCACCTATTTGTTGCCCCTCATAATAAATGTAAATGAGTCCTTGAAGGAGCTGACTCTGTTTGCTGAGAGAATGAGGCACCATACTGTATTTAATAACTTTGGTCTCATGATTACCGGCAGCTCTGTAACAGTGTATTAAATAAGTGTAAGGTCTCTATTCCTCCTCTCTTTAATCAAATTGTGGTGTTAACATCTTCAGCAGATAAAGCTGAATGCTTCACTCGTAAATTCTCCTTAAACTCTACTCTTGACTCATTTGGAGTATCCCTGCCTAATTTCTCACTTAGAACTGAGTCTCTATTGAGTGATATGCATATGACCTCTTCTATGGTTTCTGCTATCATCTCTGGCCATAGATCCCCACAAAGCATGTGGACCTAACAGTATCCCTGTAATAGTCATTAAGAAATGTGCTCCTGAACTGGCTCCTAAACTGTATAATAAATGCCTTGTTGCCTCTTGCTTTCCTACCTGCTGGATGTCATCATTTGTTGTTCGAGTTTTTAAGAACTCAGGTGAACCATCCAACCCTTCCAACTATCAACCTATTAGCCTTCTGCTTTTTGGGAAACTCCTAGAGACCCTAATCAATACTGAATTGGTTAAGTATCTCTCATCACAGGGACTTTGTTCTGACAAGCAATATGGCTTTCATTTTTCCAGGTCAACTGCTAATGTACTGATGATAATTGCAGAAAGAGTCCATCGTGCTCTAGATAAAAATGGTGATGCCTGGACTGTAGCTTTGAACATCTCAAAAGCTTTTGACAGAGTTTGGCATACAGGTTTTCTCCACAAGCTGAAAAGTTATGGTGCCTCCGGACAAATTTTTGAACTGATCCTGTTTTTCCTGTCAAAACATGAAATGAAATTTATCCTGAATGGCCACTCATCTAGATCCT